AGAAGGTCGCGGAGAAGTTTGAGAAGCAGATCAAGGTACGTCTGCGTGTATGCGCGTGGATTGTGGATGCTGACAAGTATATGCGTGTTTAGGCGGTGTATAAGACACAATAGAGGGCGTCGCACCTTGCCCTGTTCCTGTGATCATCCCGCGCATCTTTCTCTTCATCCTGTGGTACTCGGTAGAAGCCCCCGGCCCTCGTCTCATTCGAACCATCTGACCCGTCTGACCCATCTGTCTCAGTCTACTCTCCGTTTTCTTTTTTCGTTGCTGCGTCACCTGTACTCTCCCTGTTCTTTTCTTCTTTCCTCTTCTCACTTGCTGTTGATTACGCTGTCGCCCGTACATATACAGTACGATACACCATATCCTGCGCCTCCGCACTGTAATCGATCTCCATCAGGTCCTGTATATCAGCCTTTGTCTGCGCGTGATTACGCTTAGCTCACCTAACACCATCACCGTGATCGCTGGGTGGGTATATGCGCGTCGACGTCGCTCTGGGAATCACGCCGGGTTTTTTCCGGGTCGAGCGTACGGTAGAGTAGTGCGCCACAGCGCGAACGACTGCAGCGATGGTGGGACGAAGGAAGAGATGGAAGGCGACCGGGCGTGGGCTGAGGACGCAGCACGGGCTCAGGCGATCGCGGTGCGCGCGCATGTGATTGTGCAAGCCGCACGGTCGATCCATGACGTGCACCGACTTGGACCGCGTTTTTTGTCTTTTTCTGTGAAAAACATAGCGTGCGGGCGGTCTGGAGTGTGGAGAGGCGCGTCGAGGTGTGGGCGCATCAAGGAATGATATTGGATGCCTGTCCGTAGGAATCTATGGCGTTACAGATCATAGACCGGAGCTTGAAAAGTGGCCTAGGAAATACGAGTGTGAAGGTGCGCTCCCGCAGGACCGGTTTTACTTTGGGTCATAGATAGTTTTACATCAGCATATCCACGTGGACGGGCTATAAAGACGCCGTCAACGAAGATGATCATTGGACGCGGAGTCCGAACTCGGTCTACAACCATAGATTTTATTCTGTAGAGGGGGGGTACCCCCCTCTACAGATTTAAGGTCTATGAACGCGACCTCTCATTCCGACCTGGCGGTACCGCCCGCAAGCCGTGATGCCGGAGAGCGTCAACCTTAATCTATGGCAAAATCTAGAGTATGAAGCTTCACACTTGCCTACGGACAGGCATCCATTCACGGTTATGTTTCGTGCACGTAGGCGATGGCGTCGGTACCGCGCTCGAGGATGGCACGATAGGCCTAGGGAGTGCCCAGCAATCATATTTCTCGTCGCCCGACTCTGGTATACAAGGTATATTTGCCTCGTTAAGAGGAACAACACTACAAGAGGCCACAGCTAGACGATATACAAAAGCTACAAGCACGGTACTCTACAAGATAATAGATATGCAAATCTAACCCGAGGCAGGCTCGAATATGGACCAGGTGGGTACGATCTAGCCTCCCAAGTTCAGGACAGCAGACGCTCACAACGCATGAGGCTTGAGATTGAGAAAGTATTATCAGCCACTGGAGAAGGAAGAGGGGCTGGACGCACGAACCTCGTATGAGTACTTCGGTGCAGTCATGTTGATGTCGGAGTCCTAGACAATCTCTGTCAGAGTCTAACTCAGCATTCGACGATGACCGTGGACCTACCGTCTCTACTGTACGCGTGACGACGACACCCATAATAGGCGTGTTCGCGCGTCCGTATGCCTTGTCGCGGCTGAAGTCACGGTTGGACAGGGCCTGAGAGACGGACTCCATCGACTCCATGTCCGAGTCCTCGTGGTCCCTTGTGCTGCGGATAAGGCCTCTAGTGTTCAGACTGTGCGGATGAAAGCAGCTGTTAGCCTCGGGGCCTGTCGTATTCTCGGGGAATCTTACATGATAAGGAACGTATTTGCGTATACTGCGAGTCTTGGTCAGCCACTTGTAGTCCGTGAACCTGTAGCGTACTCACACTTGCTGGATACGAATCCTATGGACAGGTCCCAGAAGGTGCGTTTGTCGACAATAAGCTGTGCGCCGACACGGGTGAGTCCATAGGCGTGGGTATATCATACATCTTGCGCTTACCAGTATAAAGATGATGATTTCGACGCATCTAACAGGATGTTGATATAATCAGGATACGGAAGATGGTATGGAAAGGTACCTGCTTACGTCGTTAATATCCCAGTAGTGACAGTGAGCGCAATCAGGCGCGTGATAATCCCATCGAGTCTGATGCCAACCCAGACATAGCACAATCTCGTGAGTAAAAGTTCGAGTTTGGAGGAAGGTGACATACTTCCTAAAGCCGGTCCGGCTTTGATATAGATAGTATGATGTGGCGATGGCGATGGCGAGGTCCGCGCAGAGAGCTGCACTGAGACCAGCAATAGCTTTGGGCTGCAATATAATCATATATGTCAGCTATCGCTGATGGGTCAACGCCATACTCACTTGCAGTGCATTTTCCGCAATTGAGAAGTCGCGGAACGCATACCTGGAATGCTGATAAGCATCACATCGCATAAATCACAGGAACCGAACATACAGCTTGATGGGATAGTCTATGGTTCGCCCAATGAGTAACTGCTGTGTAAAGTGAGGAAAGCGAAGTGCGGGTCACGCACATAGGTATATTCCTTGGATTCATAGGAACGTTGAGACCAAAGTCATGATATATCTATTGAGAAACCAACATACCGAGAGCAGCAACGGTCAAAATCCCCTAGCACACAGTAGATGAATGAAAACGACAGACTGTGGTATGATCGTGTCACTTACACAAAATGCCGTCACACGAGCATCACGACCCACTGGGTAGCACGTTAGATATATACGCACAACCCATCAGGGGAAGAGCTTACATCTCCACACGCGGGAGACGAGAAAGCTACAAAGGACGTGAGTGGTACGTTGTCGCATAATTGAGCAAAGACGTACACTTGAACAAAGAACCCGATGAGAATCTAGGCAGCCCATAGTGATTTCAATCATAATTAGGCATCACTACAGGAGACACTTACGTTCAACATCATATGAAGCTGTGAACGAGTGTCAGATGCATCGCGCGTAATCTGATTATAACACGTACAGGAATGCACCTATTGATGTTTACTCATCAGTATCCCATTGTCCGGGCATATCGTGGTGACTGGCGTACCAAATAATGGTTTCAAGAACGGCGGGATTCCCGAAGTTAAGGATCAGGTAATTGTAGAACAAGTGAATAGTGAGGGCCGAGTGAAAAGTATCCATAGCCCTATTTCGGAGGAGCGTATTAGGAAACTTCCTACACAAATTAGGAATATTGATCACCAGCATAAAGCCACCTGATATGCATACTTATTACTAACTACCTCAAGGTGAGGATGGCCAGACATACCATGGATTTCAGGAACCACCCATCGGTTTGAGCCTTGCGAGACCTGTAATAATTTGTGGTCTGACAACAGGTTACCCCGTAGAATCTGCAGTGTCGGTTCAGATCATGGTCTCCTTGAAAGGGTTTAAGACGTACATTAACGAGATAGCTAGACCTAGATATCCAGCGCCAAATGTAGACCCCAGACTGATGCCCTGCTGCTGCATAATCGCAGGAATATTACAGCTGGACGAGACGGGACCCTCTATAGTCAGCGGTAGCTAGCGGTGAGGTGCAGACTAGGATGATGAGCTGCTAAGCAGCGGTGGGTACTTAGTACTTAAAGCTGAACAGGACCGGGTAGTGTGATACATCTGTTTGCACAGATGCGGATATTAGGTTCAGGGTTCCCTGTATTTGCAGCTATATCATTGTTCAAAGATGCTGTATGCGGCAATATCAGCCATAATCGTCTTGGGCGCACCACGGTGTGCCCTCGCCCGCAGGCTGAGATGACAGGCAGCATGACACCATCACTGACGAAGGCAGATGCACTTCCCGGAGAACATGAAGGCATCCGCCATCGAGCATTGCCGGCGCATTTGAGATAGCTCCCTTGTCATACATGCTCGCTGTAAGAGGAGGTTGGTACGGGCGATATACATTTTCCTGTGGGATCTGACATCGATGCTTACCGGCGCTGTTGAAGGATCCTATGCATCGTACTGCGCCTCCCTGTCCGCAAGCCCTGCTTCCGCTGTTCCACAGGATTGCAGCGCCAATAGCATCGACGTGCGGCCCCGAAGACACAGCACGAACTTGTCACGAACGGCTGTTCGTGCGAGCGGAGATATCTCAGTCAATAAAGAGCAAGGATTCCCAAGGATGTTGTTCTATAAGGTACTCAGTCGAACAGATACTTGTTGGCAACTCCGCGCTTCGCCCACGAGGCAGCGCTCGGCGGGAGAGATAGTGGGGGCTACAAACATTGTCATACTGCTCATGTTGGTTTGCAAAGAACCATGACGGGCCTGGAACAAAAAATCGTAACAAGGGGCGAGATGAGAGTCGGCGGGTAGAGCCAGAGCTGAGTAATATGGTTATCACAGAAATACACTGTTATAAGTAGACGTACCCCCAACAGCCCTTCAGTATTCTCCGCTAATAGTTAGAGTAATGCTTTGAATCCCGAAATTTCTTTCGTGGGTGTAAAGCGGTCTACACTGTAGACCGCTTATTTCGAGATGAGAGTCAGAAACCACTGTCAGTAGACATTCCATCGGGGAGACCAGGATTTACGGATTGATTGGTGGAATGAATTGTGTACACGGATATCATGAAACTAAATGCTGAAAAAACAACTCGGTATGATTCAGATAGGTAATGTTGGGGACGCACAGTTACCGTGGGGGTACATAGTCAAGATCCCACTCAGTGGGTCGGTCAAGCGTTACGTTGCTCGGCTTTTCCCGGACTCAGAAACGACGTCCAGCTCATTTGCCTATAATATAGACTGGCTGTTGAGAGCGTAAATCATTCAAAGACAACACCCTTTTCTCTGATTTAAATCAAAAAGAAAAAATACGATTTGAATAATGCTATAAGAGGGTGGTGAAGTAGACAAAAAGGATAGAGCGACGCCAGCAGGACTCGAACCTGCGCCCCGAAACGGGAATTGATGAACTGTTTGTCAATTTCAAATTCTAATCAATCGCCTTAACCACTTGGCTATAGCGCCTTGAAACAACCTTACATAAGTAACCTGTATAGAGACAGCCGCACGCCCGTGGCTGCCATGAATTCCCACTGGCAGTGGCTCAAGCATTGCTCAAGCACCACTTCTCGACTATCACCCCCACTAGCACTTACTATCCTCAGCGTACACGCAATCGACATTGTGCAGCTTCGAAACATGAACAAGTCTCAGTATTATCTCTCTCAGTGTGCCGATGCAGCCTCAAAGAGTCCTATGATCTTCACACTTGGCGCAGTCATGGTGAAGGGCGGTAAGATCATCTCGACCGGGTACAATCATCACAGAACTCATTACGACGGAGGCGAGCTCGTCACACACGGCAATCGCAAGGTGAGGTTTATTTTTGTGCTCTTCCGGAGTCGCGTTATCAACTGAACTACTCGCAGCCTGTCTCGATGCACGCCGAGATGCACGCGATTTACAATGTCACCGGCATGACCCCGTCGTTCAAGACGCAGGTTCAAGCCCTGGAACGACCATCGGCGTGTTCGAAACGAACGAAACCTCGACAACCGCCAAAAGTTGAAGGACCCCTCGGACATTCCCTCATCGATGCGCGGAGACAGTCGTTGGTTTTATGTGCCTCCTGTTCAACGGAAGAACGGGTCGCACGCCGAGGATGGGACAGAGAGCAAAAGCAAGCGCAAGCGTGGATGTTCGCGAACTCGCTGTCGTAGGGTGTGCTGTCGCGCTGAGGGTCCGAGGTCTACGTCCGACGGATACTCATCGTCGAGCGGTGGCAAGCAGCGTAAACAAGGCAGTGCAAGCGATTCAGAAAGCAGCGACGGCGGCTCCCTTCAGTCAGGCTCCTCTATCGCCATACTTCCAGCGAACGCAAAAGGATGGTCCGTCCGAAGGCGCGATCCGCGGGTGAACGGGGCGGATATCTACGTCGCGCGGTTCTTGAAAAATGGTATGGGCAACGCGCGACCGTGCTGGCGATGTCTCGAGTGGTGCCGTTGGGCGGGAATCAAACGAGTGTTCCATTGGGACGGGGAGACGGGGAGGTGGGAGTGCGTCAAGGTGAACGATGCCAACAAGGAACCGTACGAGACAAGGGCAGATGGAAGGCTAGCCGCAGGACTGGTGCGTCTACCAAACTGTTCCGTTTGCTGCAACGTATTCATGATTTTACACGACAGCCTCTCTTGTAATTTTCAAAAGATTTTGTCGAACTTGGTTCAGCCACAATGGGATATTTACATGCCATGAACCGCTGATCAACGTCTATCGTTCTTACATCCACCTCGATAACGGCTTTGCGCCTTCGAACTGGGCGTACAAGTTACTAATGCGGGGGAGACGATTGGCCGTTTGAACCTAGGCATGAATTCAACCAAAGGACTTGACCGCGGTTTCCTTTGGTTCTACTACGTGCTATACATCGTCCTCTATGTTCTCCGTACGTTTTGTATTATCGTCACAACACTCGGACTGTATCATTTTGTAGAAAGGTATCAGATTGCTCATACAAGGATATATACATCGAGAACAGCACGATCGGGAAATAAGAATGTGTGGCACCTCGTAAGGACGCCCAGAGTAAGCAAACAGCCTAGAGCACCCGAAATAGTACCTTGACGCAAAAGTCGTCGTCTGGTTCTCCCCTTCATTAGCAACTCCTCAGCCGATGGAAATGGGTCAACGGAGGAGTGAATTATAAGGGTGTTTGAGCGGTCGACAAGATGAATGCGCAGGAAACTTGAAAAGTACGCTGAGATGTATGTCTTGCATACGAAAAGACTTGACGTCGACAGAGAGAATCGCAGAGCAATAATTTGTTGAATTGAGAAGGTCGAACGTGGGTGTCCTCGGAGGAAGCAGCGAAGAGCCTGGAAGCGCTCAAAAAGAACTGAGTTGAGGGCAGGCAAATCAATTGCGAACAAGGCAGAAACACGTGCGAATTGTTCAATCGGAACTTGGAAGAGTCAAGCGCGCAACGCTATTACGCTCAGGCGAGCACCTCGCACACGACGTCAACCAGCACAGCGTGCTCACCGTTCAACACGTCGAGGAGGCTCGTAACAGCGCGCTCAACGCGTGCGACGCAAGAAAACATGGACACAGACGGCCAATCAAGCCTGCGGTTACGCAAGAAACCCTCCAAGGATCGGGGGCAAGATCCACACGAGCTCGAACTCGATGACTCGAGGCCGTCCGATGGGCCTCATGATGCTACCAATACGATCCCTGAGCGCGAGGACGTTGTATGGGGGAAGACACCTGGGGGTGAAGGTGAGTGCTGCCTCGTGAATATCCTGTAGTGTAATTAACATACCCGCGTCGTTCTAGTTTTCCGAGTACCCACCACGCATGACGTCCTCACTCTTTTTGACCCACGCTACCCAAAATCCCATATTGATCTACTGAACTTGGGCTTGCTCGGATCGCAAATTGTCCTGTTCTTCCTGTTACCTCGTTCCGTCGCAAGGATATTCTTCTTAATTTACTTTGCGTTCTGGCGCGGTGCCTATGACGTCGGACTCGGTTGGGTTCTTACGAAACAGAGTAAGAAGAAATGGATAGTCAAGGAAATGAAGAAACTCGGCTGGTTAGACGAACAGCGTAAACCTGCTGTTAGAAATTGGATTCGCAAGCAGTTGGCTGGAAAGATGGGCAAAGATTATTCTTTTGATGTCAGTCTATAATGTCCATTTTACTCACGATCTCGTGGAACTGATACAGTCATGCAGGAGCTGCCGCTAGAATATAATACTTGGCTATTATTCCGACAGGCGGTTGATATTATCCTGCTCAAGTTCGTTTCAGTGTCACTATGCCTTTAGGTGACTGACTGAGCACGCCTCCTGCTACAGTGACTTCGTGGCGTATTGCATGTTTGCATTCACCTGCTTTCGGGTACCTGAAGGCCTCTCTGTAGGAGCACATATAATGAGGCATGGTTCTGTCATTCTTTCCGTTACGCATATATTGATCAATTCTTTCCTCTAGATGGATAGGCGGCATTGCTCTCATTGCATTCAACCTTTGGGTCAAGACAGAGGCACATCACGTTGTCAAAGACTACGGCTGGTACTGGGGTGATGTCTTCTTCCAGCGCGGCGCGCTAGTCTTTGACGGTGTGTTTGAACTCGCGCCTCATCCAATGTACTCTGTTGGTACGTCAGCCTGTTTCTGCTTTGCTAATGGTCCTCTCCGAAGAATGTTTTCCTAAATCACACTCTGACAGGTTATGCGGGTTACTACGGTTTGTCACTCATCTCAGGCAGCTATCCTGTACTCTTCGTCAGCATCGCCGCGCACGCAGCTCAATTTGGATTCCTTGTCTTCTTTGAGAATCCGCGTACGTTACAATCTTTGCGACAGGTCAAGTATTTTGCTAAGGCTGTACCCCCATTTGTCATCACCTTAGATATCGAGCGCACGTACGGTCAGCGCAAATTGCTCGCCGCGCGCACCCCTGTGTTCCCCGCGGCAACCCCCAAGGTCTCTTCTCAGCAGCTGATGCTCCCAGATTACACGGATTCCGTCCTCACGAGCGCCGCGGCCGAACTTTCAACCCCGTCGGTGACAGAAGGTGAAAGTGCAGCGGAGACGGATGGCCCACAGACCGATTACGATGAGAGTGAGACAGAGGGCGAGGCCCCTACCGCGGTCATGATGAAACGCAGAAAGTTACGGCAGACCAGTACGTCGAGCACGGCATCACACCCTCAGTCGTTGGGAACCCCGCAGATGAGCAAGTCGCCGGTCTCTCAACACGATCTGTTCAATCGGTACTTCCGTAAGGATGCCATCTTGCTGCACAACATCGATTTGCTACGCGCGACGGACTTTCAACTCGTTCTGTTCTTGGTTTTCGTTCTCGTCTCCGCGTTCATTCCATCGCTTTCGGAGAAAGCCAGTCTGGCGCTGTACTCCGCTCATACCCTTACGTGGTGTCTCTTCCATTCCTTTGGTCTCGGCCTGCTACTTCGTGCTCAGTCCGAGCGAAAATTCCTGGTTCGACACTTCTTAAAACATTACCACTATCCCCGAGGAGACGATGGGAAGGGCGCTTTGTACGAGGCGTTCTCGAACTGGAAGAGCATCTACAATACGAGCATGTGTATGACTTACGGTATGTTTCATAAGTCCATCGATGATACATGACGTCTTTTCCGTCTCCACGACCGTCCACGGCCAGTGCTACGCTCTATTTGGTTGTTCATACGCTTAGGGCGTCTATTCTTTGTGAACTGGTACTGATAACGTGCGATCCCGCAGCTTCTTTCATTGGCCTTGCGTGGAAGACATATTCGATTCCAAACGATTGGACCGTAGGAAATGAATTACTGCGCCACACCTTGGGAGCGGTGAGTACTCACGCTGCCCTATATCATGTATCTCAGCACACGTGTCTGATCATGGTCTGAAGATGTTGATCGGCCTCCAAATTTGGACGACATTAGAGCAATATGAAGTCCTTGGGCCGTTTGGTGAGCGTCGAGACGCCTCATTCTTTCATCGCAGTGTTCCTGATTGAATGTTATTTCCAGGATGGTTCTTTGGCGACTTTTTCATGGAGCAGTTCTCCGCCCAACTGGAGTATACTGGGATTTACCGGTGAGGAAATTCCTTAGGCGCATGAGTGAACGCTCTATTCTCACGTTTCATTTGACGACGTATAGGTATCTCAATAACCCAGAGATTATGAGTGGTGCCGCTTTCTTCGGTCTCGCGTTGATCAGCGGTAGCAAAACTGTCTTCACGATCGCAGTCATTCGGCACTTGTCTCAGCTATGGTTCCTCAGCAAGGTTGAACAGTAAGTGCGTCATGACATGTCCTGTAACATGCCGTACTCATCGGTCGTCTATTGCATTCACTCCACTATAAAGCCCGCATATGCGAAAGTTGTACGGCGACTCACTACGTAGTGATGCTGGCTTCGTGAAAGTAATCAAAAAAGTTGCTAAGAAGAATGCGCGGATGCTGGAGACTCGCGCCGGGCGTCATGCGCCGGAGATTAGGAGAGTCGCCAGGGAAGTCAAAGGCACGTTTGACAAAGTTTATGTGGAAACCGCCGAGGTGCTTGAAGAGTTCCTGGCGAAATGTACGTACCAGCCCCGAGCCTACAGTTACGAGAACGCTGACGCAATTGCTCACGGCCAGCGCGTCCCAAGATTTCAGAGGTCGTGCAAGATACCAAGGTCCTCCTACAGCAGTCTCGTGAACGCCTGGTCATATCGTACGTCCATTTGGTCTTGCCTCCGTGATATAAGGTTTCATATTGAAATTTACACTTCAACACAGTCGAGTAGCCAGTGATCTCTCGCGATACGACAAGTCCTTGTATCAGCTATCTGTTGTGCCCAATAGCTTGGGAGGTTCCCAGCGATTCCATCTGGGGGAGCCCATCAGAGTTAAATGGCGCGCACCGTTCAATCACTCTCGACAGGATTGGATTGGTATCTATAGGGTAAGTTTATGATACATATGTCCATGTACAACAGTGCCTCACTGGGACTTCTATGCCGCAGGTGGGCGCGAACGCTTCCAGCCAAGTCACTAAAATTTCATCGCTCGGCCTGTGGGTACCAGTGCACAACGAGGAGTGGGACGGCGATCTCCCTTTGAACCTCGATCAGCCAAAACGGACCCACCAACTTCCGGAAGAAGGCGAAGTCGTTTTCCAGGGCGGGAAGCTGCCGTGGCGCACAGGCAAGTACGAGGTCAGTGATTTCGGTTTGTGGCGCAGATCGCCCCGCGAGGAACAATTGTTGATTGTAACAACCGTACACAGATTCGGTACCACCATGACGGCAAATACAACGTAATGAGCTTGGTGGGCCCGATTGAGATATACGGTGCGTCACGGTCACAGCTGCTGTACCTTGATACTGACCACGGCTTTGGCAGTGGATAAGCCGTCCTCGTTGGACTTTGCATCCGTTCGCGCCTCGCTCTCCAAGATTGTCACGCTCTGCCTAGACTCGGACCCGTCTCTCATCCCTCTGTCAGCCAGGGCAGAAACCGGTAGTGAGGTGGCTGAGGCTGAAGGGCGAGACCCTGACGACTTCAGATTCTGGTCAGAGAGACAGGCGAAGCGCATCTCGGTCGCGATTCACCAGGCCTTCGGTGTCGAGCTGACACCCGAAGTCATTATCGCGGATGCAAACATCAGCGCACTGGCAAACCGGATAATTGTCTCGAGGGACTTATTCTCTGATTGAGTCTCTCAGACCAAGTTCTACGATTCTATCTACGGTTTGATCTTCTGGGGGCTCTTGGTACGCTGCTTAACGTACGTGCTCGAGTATGTATAATCAATATCTTGGATTACGTCGTGTTGAAGCTTGTTGAAGCTGGTTTTGATCTACACGCAATCAGAGGTGGTATCGAACTAGGAATTAGCGTTGCGTTGAGTTCGATACTGTCTTCGTGCAAGTGACAAGGAGCCGAGCCCAAGCTCAAGCCATGTCTTCCCCTGGGTAGGTCATTCATCGCGGGAGTTGAGCGCTAGTTCGTGCGCTTAGATGCTTCAAGCGCGTCGCACGACAACGGAGAGTCTTCACCTCGCGCGAATTATCTTGTCTTTTTCTATCATCGGATGGACACAAAAATGATATATTTGTGATCCTGAACATCATAGCTACACGGCAGTATAATTTGTGGAGTGAAAAGCTAGTGTTGAATAAATATTGGCGTTAGTAGCAGCGACGCTTCGACTCACGCAAGCAGCGGTCCTATCTTCCAATGTATATAGCATTTTCAACTGTTTATTACTCAAGCCAAAATGCTTCAAGGACCAAAACGATTAACCAGTACCAACGACGGGATTCGAACCCGCAACCTTCGCCTATTCGCCGTCAGAGGGTCGTAGGAAAGCGACGCCCTACCATTGGGCTACGATGGCCTGTGTGAACTGAATTGTAAACCTTAATTCGTGAGTATCAAAATTTAAGGCCTATGGGAACCCGGTCCGTGCCGCCGGTCTACGCAATCCCACGAGATACTGTAGCTAGAACTTGCATTCAGATACGTCCACATCAAGCAGAACTGAACGTCTGAATCGTTTCGCAGTCTCTCATATACTCATATCCACGCTATGGATGGACCGATGTCGGGTCTTGGGACATATCACGTACCAGGTTCAAGGAATACGTATTACATTCCCGACTTTGTTACGCCAGAGGAAGAAGAATATCTTATCCGAAAGGTTCAATTCTTTCATCGGCTCCACTTACGCCAACGGCCTTCAGCTTACATCGTATCAGATAAACGAATCCCCCCAGCCCAAATGGAAAAGACTACAAAACAGACGGTAGGACTCGTTATTAAATTCGAGAAAAGCAAGCCTCTGAAATCGCAAATTGCTTCCACAGGCTACAGATCTGGGGTCCGTCTTGCGTGTCTGCTGCTCACTATGATTTACATGGTTAGCATCTAGGTGGGGAGCTTACCTCGAAGAATACACTTATTCCCCAGGCTTTCCCGAATTACCTTACACAATTGTACGTCTCGCCTCCATCCAGGGTCAATTGAACGCTGATTGATGGTAAATCAGTCCCGACATCATAGGGCGCATAAGAGACACCGGCGCGTTCTCTCAATCCCCTCACAAACAGCCTAACCATGTCATTCTCAACGAGGTGGGTCCCATACTCTCAACCGAACAACGCAGTCTAACATTTGGAATCATCGTCATCGGAAACCCTGCGCCGCTTGGTCGTAGTACTTGCCGGGCCAAGGCATAATGGTTCGAAAGCTTGTTTCTATCAGCGCGGGTGCAAACTTGACTGACGTCCCTGCACACGGCATTGACAGCCACACGAGGACGGCCCTTCGTACTATCCCGTAGTAGCCACGCTCTCTCTCGGCTCACACGCTGTCTTCCATTATTACCAGTACAACACTGGACTCCAAGCTGAAGAAGACGACGCAGCCTCAGCGGGAACTCGCTCAAGAGGCCGGTCAATCGACCCTACGCCTGTGCTCTCGATGGTGCTCGAGCCGCGCAGTCTTGTTATCACCACTTCAGAGCTGTACAACGCTCATCTGCACGGCATTGACGACATCACGGAAGACGTCCTTACTCCACCGCTGGGTAGCACCGACGTCACACACAGCCGCGGGACGCTTATGATCCGTCCACAGATAGCTAATAGAGACCAATTGAAAGGCCCAGAGTTTATAGAGGCTGTTTCGAATGGAGGTATATTGCAGCGCGGCGTTAGGTACAGCTTGACCTGTCGCGACGTCGAACGCGTCGCGAACCTGAACGCGCACACAATGACGGCTCTAGGAATCGGACGCCGCTAGACCCTGTAGAATAGCTGTGATATTGCCGTTAATACTCACAGATGCGCGGACATTGTGTACCCCCAGCTGCCCAGCCTTGTGACCAAGGGAAGACATCAACTCACGTATTTTCAATATCCGTAAATAACGGCTATAGCCATGATGACCTGGCTCTTCGATGAATAACATTGGTTGATATGTAGAGACGGCACGGTAGCAGTCGCACCGCACATTCATTATCCACATTATCCCACCAGTAGATATTAATCGACACATGTGTCGGATAATGCCTTGAAGCGACGCCACCATCGTATTGGCCTCATGTTTTCTAACCCAGCGGCCCTCTATATCAATAGGAGATACAGCACGAGCCAAAGGCAGTGAGCAGCCAGCACACCGCCGGCCACAGCCCACTCGTACGTGCTTGCCTACATGACCCCCAAGCCAGCCTTGAGCTCCCTTTCCAGATCGCGATCACCGTTAATGGCCGCGTCCTTAGTCTGCCTCGTTGGGTCTTGCTCCTCTTGCACGCACCGGACGCATTTGCATTCTCCGAATCCCCATTCCAGTAGGCCTTGTCTACGCTCATACAGACCCATTTGCGGATTGACATATGTCACTGTCAGCTCCTCTCCGACTTCAATATCCCGCCGTGCAATCACGGATATTCGTGCAAGCGCCGTACGTTGCTCAAGATGCCGCACGGAAATGTTGGGATCGCATGCGTGGTTGATATGTGAATGCAAGGTATACAGTCCGCCGTGTGCCTCCAAGTCTGTTGCAAATTGAAGAAAAATTGAGTGACTCTAACCGAAATGAGAGTCGGATGAACACTTACTTAGACTCATCCTTCCGAGACCATGTAGGAATGCGTCGTAGTCAAAGAACCACTCCACAACTTCCTTGCTAACGGGCTTCTTCAGAACGCGCGTTAGTTTCTTTTTTTCTGTATCTTTGACAGGTGCGTGGAACGCCTGCACGTAATACTCGTAGGCTTTCTTCCACGTTTCGCGATCTGGTTGTGCGTTCCCGAGCCTAATGGATAAGACCCCCTTCAGTATGCTGAATGAGCGCGGAAATGCCAACAGGTAGAACGTACCATCCGCCTTTTGCACGCTCTTCCATGCCCAGCTGAGCAAGCGAGCGAACAAACTCCCAATCGTTTTTGAATACGGCTGGATCTTGCTGCTCCTCGAGCAGAATCCTGGCGGTGCATCGCGAAAGCGCATGCAATGCCATCCACTGAGTTTGCCTTGACAAAGACAACAGCGGAATCACCGCTGGATTTTGCGCCGGGCAAAGAAGCGGATGTGTCGTCACCGACCGGGACAGGCACAATCGGCTACAGAATCGCGCCGTGCAGGGCGCCGATGCAGGGCAAGATACGTTGAGCGAAGACCCCGTTAACGGTGTCGAGCAGTGAGCGCAAGCGGCCGAGGACGTCTGCAGGTCATAAATTTCCCTAAGAAACCATTATTCTCGTATTTCAAAGAGAAGGGCTGATGGACGGTACATCGGCGACTACCATACCATTCTGGTGCGAGGACAAACGGATCTTCCTTCCACACAACCTCGCCCTCCGCAATCCGCTCCTTGGCGACAAGTCCCTTGCCTTTTCTACGGTCAAAGTACTTCACCTCTACCTTGTTCGTCCACTTGGTAACATCGAGGCCCTCAACGAGCCTGGAAACAGGAAATGGGGAGTCGGCACCGACCGCCGTGTTATCAGCGTTGTGCCTTGCTTGATTCTTGTCGGATGATGGGCCAAGGATGAGCCCTTCGCTCTGTAGGATCTTCCTCGTCCTTTTTTCGCTGACCGTCCATCCAGGATGACCGGCGAGCAGCAGTGCATGGAGCTTAGCAATCCCCAGAGCGGGATTTTGGGTCCTAAGATCCACCAGCGCCGTAAGCAATTCCCGCTCGGACGGTATTTGTGTTATGTCCATCCCGAGAGGAAACGAAGATCTTCAAGGGTGAGTACAGACTGATGTACGAATACAAGCAGAGAAGCGCCAAAATTGCGCTCGCATGGCGGTGTTGTCATCAAATTTACGCACTGAGATCTAACGCTAATTGGCAGCTTCCAATACTTGTGGATTACTTTCATCGGTCGGTGCCGACAAGTAGCATCTATCCTACAAGCTCAAGCGTATATACACGAAAGCTTCCGTTTACTTGAGGTCAGTATGAAGTACAATGTACGTATGAGCCGAAATATGAAAGTGCATGAACATGTTGTAGGGATATGTCCTCTATCCGCCGACGAGCGTTATTGAATTCGGTTTCGCAAGAGTAAAAACAACCCCAAGGCACCAATTTTCGATTTATTTAGTTTGATTAGTCCGTTCCAATGTGGTGAGCATACAGTTCGTCTAGACCAAAACAAGCGATCCGCTCGTACTTGGGTTCAAGCCGGTTACCGGGACGATTGTTCCTATGACATGTTTGGAGGAACGCTAGCCATAAGTTTTAGACATAAGACTTCAGCTCCGGTAGAAGATACCGCGTTTCTGTGGCCTAGACTGGGTCTCATACTCCACCGCATCTGTTTTGTCTTGGCTGTGCCACTGATTAGGCTCCTGTGACCCGCGATTGTTTCTCTTTGAGCACCCTCTTTCTGTACATCTTCCATGGTATAACCCTAACTTTGACTGTGAGCAATGACAAATGAACAAGACAATACAGATTCAATAGTTATCACTTGCGAGATCTCTTCCTTTGAGGGACCCTAGACCTGGTGTACAGCTCGCAAAGAATACTAGTCCTTCCATGGATATGCACGCGGTAATGCAAGCCCGCAGATGGAAGCGACAGCCCTGGTCATGGACAGTCTTCATATCGATTATTCGCTTTGCCCCTCTCCGTGTCATTATACAGGGATGCTGCGTTCAAGAAAATGCCGCCCAAGCGGAATATATAAGACAGACAAGAGGCCCCGGAGAAAGCACCAACCAACGAGACATTCCAAAATACAACATGTCTAGTACTCAGGCACGTATCCCGCGACACATTGAAGAATCCCGTAGACTCACCGACAACTCTAGATCGATCACGGCACGAGCGTCGATCACGACGACTTCGACGAGGTCCATACTCCGCGACGAGTTTCCATGGCGTGCACATTCTGCAGGAGTACGTTATATTCGCCCTTGCAGCCAATCAGGCTGCATATTCAGCGCCGCCGAGCTGATCGCGCCTGCCTTGCTTTGTCTAGAGCGCAAGATAAAATGCGACGGCAGAACGCCTACCTGCTGGAACTGCGAAAAACGGCAGTCTGTTTGCAATTATGTGTCCGTGTAAGTCCGTGTAGAATTTACAGCATGGTCCGCAGACTTACCCACGAACGTTCAACCTCCCGCAGAGCGACAGAACAGGCTGAGAACAAGCTCGGTCCACCGCTGCGAACTCGCTGATGGTCTGTGGAGCTATCCTGATCGCCTATAACCAGCTTTTATGCACTGATAATTATTGAGCGAGGAGTATATATGTCTTCCAGGTTACGAGGTTATTATATAGTCGTCCTAAAGCACTGAATCACAATTTATGTTACCTCCGGAAACGGACTGAACTGTCATGGTCCGGAGAGACTAGAAGCCCGTGATAGGCAGGGCGCAC